GTACACACAGTCTTTAGTTATGTTCTCCTCTATGGTGGAGGGTCTTACTCGGGAGAGATATCTGCGAAGTGTTGTCAAGCTTTTGAAGTTTGTCCTGATGTTATATCGACTGCAGATCCTTTGTATTTTCTCTGATAACCCCTTCACATAAGGCTAGGCAAAGATGAGGATGATAGTCCAAACAATGTAAATAGTGTCCTCTACTTTATAATTTTATCTAATATTGTACTCTTAGTCCTATTTAATTCTATTAATGATTGGTATCAAAGGAAGTTTACATTATTTTTATATTCTTTCTGTTAAGTACTAAATGACATTAATTACATAATATCTCCTCCTTTTAGAGTTTACACCGTGTTTTCATTTTAACCTCTACACACAACATATGCACGTGGTGACTTAGCTTTGAACTTAAAGGAGACTTGTCATTAAATGTGTACCGTTCTCATTAATGAAATGCACACAGGATGCCTGATAACCATCATCTCTTAACTCTTGAATCCTGTCTACTACTAGGCCATTACTCTTTTCTTGTTTAAAGAATCTTTCACAACATTGCATATGAGTGATATTGAACAACATTAAACCATGAATTCCATTTGAGTACCACCAGTTCAGTGGGCAGTTTGACTAGTTGTTTATGCAAAGAAATCTTCAAGCTATTTCAGGTATTGCTGTTTTAGGTTCAGCCTTTTTCAAAAAGGCTGACTTGATGAAAACCATAATCTGGGCAACATTATCTAATGCTGGCCAGTGTGACAAATTTTAAAGTGTATGTCAAGCACAACACTGAGTACATGCATTTGACAACATTTTTCTATGAGCCTTTTTACAATAGGCTGCCAAATCTGTGACAAAGACAGGAATTACAACCTGGATGTATGCTTGACTTACAGTTGCATTTTCTGTCATGTTTACAATATCAATAAGGAATGACTTGCCATGAATACTTGCAATCACATTAAAAATTCTGTGGTCACATCATTTGGTTGTTTCATTTGCTATGATTTTGACAAGTTCATTTGCTATGATTTTGACAAGTTCATTTGCTATGATTTTGACAAGTTCATTTGCTATGATTTTGACAAGTTCATTTGCTATGATTTTGACAAGTTCATTTGCTATGATTTTGACAAGTTCATTTTGCTATGATTTTGACAAGTTCATTTGCTATGATTTTGACAAGTTCATTTGCTATGATTTTGACAAGTTCATTTGCTATGATTTTGACAAGTTCATTTTGCTATGATTTTGACAAGTTCATTTGCTATGATTTTGACAAGTTCATTTTGCTATGATTTTTTGACAAGTTCATTTGCTATGATTTTGACAAGTTCATTTGCTATCATTTTTGAGTATGATTTTGATTTTGAAGTTCATTTGCTATGATTTTGACAAGTTCATTTGCTATGATTTTGACAAGTTCATTTGCTATGATTTTGACAAGTTCATTTGCTATGATTTTGACAAGTTCATTTGCTATGATTTTGATGATTTTATGATTTTGACAAGTTCATTTGCTATGATTTTGACAAGTTCATTTGCTATGATTTTGACAAGTTCATTTGCTATGATTTTGACAAGTTCATTTGCTATGATTTTGACAAGTTCATTTGCTATGATTTTGACAAGTTCATTTGCTATGATTTTGACAAGTTCATTTGCTATGATTTTGACAAGTTCATTTGCTATGATTTTGACAAGTTCATTTGCTATGATTTTGACAAGTTCATTTGCTATGATTTTGACAAGTTCATTTTGCTATGATTTTGACAAGTTCATTTGCTATGATTTTGACAAGTTCATTTGCTATGATTTTGACAAGTTCATTTGCTATGATTTTGACAAGTTTTGACATTTTTGCTATGATTTTGATTTCATTTGCTATGATTTTGACAAGTTCATTTGCTATGATTTTGACAAGTTCATTTGCTATGATTTTGACAAGTTCATTTGCTATGATTTTGATAAGTTCATTTGCTATGATTTTGACAAGTTCATTTGCTATGATTTTGACAAGTTCATTTGCTATGATTTTGACAAGTTCATTTGCTATGATTTTGACAAGTTCATTTGCTATGATTTTGACAAGTTCATTTGCTATGATTTTGACAAGTTCATTTGCTATGATTTTGACAAGTTCATTTTTATGATTTTGACAAGTTCATTTGCTATGATTTTGACAAGTTCATTTGCTATGATTTTGACAAGTTCATTTGCTATGATTTTGACAAGTTCATTTGCTATGATTTTGACAAGTTCATTTGCTATGATTTTGACAAGTTCATTTGCTATGATTTTGACAAGTTCATTTTGCTATGATTTTGACAAGTTCATTTGCTATGATTTTGACAAGTTCATTTTGCTATGATTTTGACAAGTTCATTTGCTATGATTTTGACAAGTTCATTTTATGATTTTGACAAGTTCATTTGCTATGATTTTGACAAGTTCATTTGCTATGATTTTGACAAGTTCATTTGCTATGATTTTGACAAGTTCATTTGCTATGATTTTGACAAGTTCATTTGCTATGATTTTGACAAGTTCATTTGCTATGATTTTGACAAGTTCATTTGCTATATTTTGACAAGATTTTGACAAGTTCATTTTGCTATGATTTTGACAAGTTCATTTGCTATGATTTTGACAAGTTCATTTGCTATGATTTTGACAAGTTCATTTTATTATGATTTTTGACAAGTTCATTTGCTATGATTTTGACAAGTTCATTTGCTATGATTTTGACAAGTTCATTTGCTATGATTTTGACAAGTTCATTTGCTATGATTTTGACAAGTTCATTTGCTATGATTTTGACAAGTTCATTTGCTATGATTTTGACAAGTTCATTTGCTATGATTTTGACAAGTTCATTTGCTATGATTTTGACAAGTTCATTTGCTATGATTTTGATTCATACCATTTGCTATGATTTTGACAAGTTCATTTGCTATGATTTTGACAAGTTCATTTGCTATGATTTTGACAAGTTCATTTGCTATGATTTTGACAAGTTCATTTTTATGATTTTGACAAGTTCATTTGCTATGATTTTGACAAGTTCATTTGCTATGATTTTTGACAAGTTCATTTTTGCTATGATTTTGACAAGTTCATTTGCTATGATTTTGACAAGTTCATTTGCTATGATTTTGACAAGTTCATTTGCTATGATTTTGACAAGTTCATTTGCTATGATTTTGACAAGTTCATTTGCTATGATTTTGACAAGTTCATTTGCTATGATTTTGACAAGTTCATTTGCTATGATTTTGACAAGTTCATTTGCTATGATTTTGACAAGTTCATTTGCTATGATTTTGACAAGTTCATTTGCTATGATTTTGACAAGTTCATTTGCTATGATTTTGACAGATGAAGTTACCTAACACACTTAACATGTGGAATAGTGTCACTGTCCTTGCAATACTTTAATATAAATAGCCTAGTTTTGTCAGTTTTGTGTAGGAGGATGTCAATGTGAACCTTTTTTTTTTTTTTTTTTTTTTTAAAATCAATAACATCATATCTCATTAGACTATGGTGATCGAATTTATCAACCCCTTATATTCTGCATAAAAATCATCAGGAAATTATTCTAGTCTGGATTTGACAAAGTTTTAGATATTAGGGTCATCAGTCTTTTTTTTAAGGGGGAAGATCCAGTTTTTAAGGCTGTTATTATAGGTGATTTACTAGAAACTAATGAATAGTTTGACAATGCATTGCTTATTTATATAAAAAAAATTTTTTCCACTGATGCAGTTATAAATCTCTTTGTGGCAACATAGAACCTGTATATCTTTATAGCAGCTGACCTCAAGCCAATGACTATTTTATCAGGCAAATATGATAATGGGTGTTGGTACTGAAAGTGGTACAGTTTAGAAAATAACTAAACAAAGTGTTAAATCTGTAGAAGAAATGAATGTAAACTAAAGTACATGTGAATAAGTTATTTTGTAAAGTGTTTGATGAAAAAGTTAAGAGTTCTTTTGAATGTTATAAGAAATGGTTACTTCTTTCAATTTCTAAACCAATGCCTGTTACCTGATTTGTTTATTTTCCTATGTCAACTTTATGGCCATCAGCATCTCTGCTACAAAGATACTTGGTTATCTTTGAAAATTACATAAGTATTTAAAAATAGAACTGTAAAGACAAAAGTTTTTCTTAGAAAATCGACTTTTATTTTTAAAATATAATTAATATAAAAAATTGTTTTTTCCTTTCCATTTAAAGCATGTTACATTTTAAATAACAAAATCGCAGAGACAGTTATTCAGTTTTGAAATAATAAAACGAATTTGAAAGAACACTAAATGAATAATCCATTATCTGTTATTGAAAATTACAGGAAAAACCAAATTGTTTTGGATTTGCAATTGTTTGTGCAATTGTGTAAAAAAAAAAAAAAAAAAAAAAATTGATCCTATCCAGATGTACAATTAGAAGTGACATGCATTCCCACCGCATGTTGAAATTCAAAGTGGTGAAAAATTAACTGATTTTTAAAAAGCCTTTTATATTAAGGGCATTCTGCTTTGAAATCTTATGCTTGATAATCATTTTGGTTAGATGCAGTGACTAGACCCAAAGTTGTGAGTTCAATACTAGACCACAGCAGTGGTGAACCAAAACTTGGAAAGTTAAGGGGAAATAACTAAGAACAATCTACCCAGGTGGACAAAATAAAGGATTCGGTTTGAAATTCCAATCACTTGAAGAAGGCCAGCATGTACAATGGCTGAAATATTGTGAATGTGGCAATAAAGATGAAGATAATGGTCAGAGTATTGTAAATAATGCAAGTAATCAACCTCATCCCAGAGATATAGACAAACTACAAAAATGTAGAGGATTTTTTATATATGATTTTGAGTATATTAAATTGTTTACTTTTAATTATATGAAAATAATCTGAATGTCATAGAATGAAAGAAATGTATATTAACATCCTTTTTATTATTTTAAATAAAGTTTTATTTCCTTTTCAGACGAGGCAAAACTCCAAAGAAAAAGTATGGCTTTTCTGGTGTCACTGTCACAGAACCTGTTGAAGTAAGCAATGTTCAGTCATGAGTAAACACCTTTAGTACCTTATTAAACAAACTTTTTTTTTTTTTTTAATAAACATTTATCAGAAGTTATGACTAAAATATCCATTCTACATTTTTTATTTTAACACTTTACAAGAAAAAGATTTAAGTAATGCATGTTATAATTTGTAAAACAGTTTTTGAATTTTTTCAATTTTAAAAGTATAATTTGGTTTTAAAAAAATCTTACTAAAAGTAGTTCTTTTAAGTAGGATTGCTTTCGTATTTTTTGTCTTATAACCATTAATGTTATAATTGCAGGTTTATTGTCGCATCAAACCAATAAATGACCCGGACAAAATATGCCTTAAAAATATTGGAGAGAATCAAGTACAATTGATACAAGTAAGTTGACTGATTTTTTTTATTTATTTATTTACTTATTTTATTTTATTTATTTACTTATTTTATTTTATTTATTTTTATTTTATTTTATTTATTTACTTATTTTATTTTATTTATTTACTTTATTTTATTTTATTTTATTTACTTATTTTTTATTTATTTTATTTATTTTATTTTATTTTATTTTATTTTATTTATTTACTTATTTTATTTTATTTTATTTATTTACTTATTTTATTTTATTTTATTTATTTTTTTTTTTTTTTATTTTTTTACTTATTTTATTTATTTATTTATTTTTTTTTTCAGTTATTTTTTTTAATTTAAAAGAAATATTCTAAATTGAAACATTTTTTCTTTTAAAATAACAAGTTTATTTAATTATGTTGATTAATTTCAAAGCTGAAATTTTTCAAAATTGCTCAAAAATTAAGTTTTTGATATTCTTTTTAGAGGATATCGTTTGATTTACATTTTAGACATGTATATCTTCAATTTATTTTGATCATTACAAATTTTCAAATTGGTATAATCAGACTTGTTTAGTTTTGACAATTTGTGATGGTCACAAGCAAACAAATATTTGAAAATTACCTTTTAAAAAATTTGTCTTATGAAGAATAGATATTTTATAAGAACCCACCATCTTTACTTTTTACAAATTGATATTTAATTATGGAAAATATATTCTAAAAAAAAAAAATAAAGCTGATGAAAAAATGAAATTAAATTTCAAATAAAATTTTATCATCTAAAGGTATCTAATTAATTTTTGGGGTAGGTTTAATCCTTTCTTTTGAAATTTTTTTCCATCAGAATTGTACATAAAATACTAATAATTTTATGTACATTTATTATTTTTTCAAAACTTATGTTATTTGTATTTTTATTTCATTTTTGAACCAATTAATTTTGATATTTCATTTATGGAAAAATGTCAAGGAGATTAATATAAAAATAAGATCATATAATATTTCATAAGATGATACTGATACTTGTAGGGAGACCCTTCTCAATAATGAAATTGAAAAATTCAAATTAAAAAACTTCTCCACATTTTTTTTTTTTTTTTTTAAAGGCCTTAACAGAGGAAAATATATTAACTCAAATAAAGACTGTTTAATTGTATTTCTGGTTGGTCTTCCGTAATTTTATAATTACAGCTGTACATATTATAAACACAAAATTACATTTCTTAATTACTTTATTATTATCTTCTGATTAGTCAAAAAATGATAACAATTTAATATAACGCGCTAAAAAAAGATCTATCTCATAAGGACACTTATCAGTTGAAAAAAAATCAAATTAACTGCGGCTTTTAACTAATTTTATAATATTTTAACAAAGCAAAAAATTACATTTCTTAAATGTAAAATCTATTATAATTAAAGAAATAACAAATAATTGTATTAAAAATTCATTTTTTCATCGAAAAAAAATTTTTTTGCTTTCAGAAAATATTGTCCATATTCATAAAAACAACTAAAAGCAAATAAAAGCATTTGAAATTAAATAATATCTTTGTTTTATTGAGTTTTGTATGTTACAATTCAGAGCTGATTTTCAGGTAGGGGGGATCCATTTAAAAAAAAAAAAAAATGATTTGCATTCCTCAAAGCCTTGTGCTTTTTAATTATTGTAATCACTAAACCCGATCGATCAATTTCTAGAGTTTTCATAAAATTAGTTATGGGGGATGGTAATAAATATTTAAAAAAAATATTTCTTCCATGACTTTAATAAAAAAAAATATTTATAATAATTTTTTCGATCATCTATGAATAGTTCCTGAAAGTTTCATTAACATCTGACAATTATTTTTATTTTTTTTAAGATTTTTTCCAAATTAATGTGTGTCATACAAAAAAAAAACATGCTAAAAATTGTCTGTTATTTTTACTAGTTCCGCTGATACAAATAGAAATAAGGTTTTTTTAATCAAAATTTAGAATGTTCTAAAAAGAAGGAAAAATTTTTAAAAAAAATTAAAAAAACTTTGGTCTTTCCTCTTAATAATAACATAAATTTTAGACAATAAAATTTTTTTTCATCAAGGTTGGCATCTTTTTCATCAAGCTATGCTCTTTTTTTAGCGATTTCATGGAGGTACCTATATTTAATGGTTATATGAATTTAAGGTCATAATAAATTAATAGTTAAGAAATTTTTATACTAAAATTCTTTTTTTGTCTACATTCCCAATTCAGAAAGTTTTATTTTGGAGTTTTTTTTTCTCCTTTTATAATTTAACTAATTTTCCTATCTATTATTAGGACCAATTTGATTCATAAATATATAAAGAGAGGTAAGTTTATTTATATAGTAAATTTAGTTAAATAGTTTTTTTTCTAATAAAAAGAAATTCTTTAAATAATTTTTAAAGTTTTTTAAAAACTTTTTTTTTAAATATTAGACCATACTAACTTGAAGTAATATCGTTTTTTTCATATGAATCTTTAAAATATTGAATTATATTCACCAGAATCATTTCTGACTTGGTTAATTTTCTAGCTCTAATTTAGTAAATTGGTCATATCAAGCTTGGCATGAGGTCAAATTTATAAATAAAATAAAAAAACTAAAAAAAACTTATTTTCTTTATATTATAATTTTTTAAAATAAACTTGAAATTTTTTTTCACTGAAAATATATCAAAATTCTTTTTTTCCTTGTCATTTTAACTGCTGATATTTCATTTATTTTAGAGTTTATTTTGATAAGATTAATATGTAAACAAAATTGTATCTTTATAAAGATACAATTATTTCTCCAGTCAGTGAATCTGGGTATTCAAATATTCTTGCATCGACCACTTCAAATGAATTATTAATAATTTTAAACCAAAATTAAATTGCAGTATATTAAAATTTTAAAAACTTACTCAATGTAAAAGTTAATGATATTACATCTCAGTGCAGTGCTGTAATCAAAATTTTAGTTCCAACCAAAGGCAAAAATGTTTGTTTGATGACTTTTATTGGATGATATTGCACATTTGTCTTTAGATAGGATTTTGATATTATCCTACTTTTTAAGTTTGATAGGATATAGTTTTTTAAGAATATTGGCTAAAACTTTTTAATAAACAAATTCTGGCTGCAAATCATATTAAAAAAAAAAATGCAGGAATAAAACGTAATTCCAACTGTTTAGAAAAATCTTTATCATCAAATCAATAAATGTTTTTTTAAACATTTTTAATTTTATTAGTTTAAAATTTATCATAAAACAAATATTTTATAAATGACCAATATTCATGAAAATGAATTTTAAGTTTTGTTGTCAAATTAAAATTTAAAAATTTTTTTAATTTTAAAAATTATTTTTATTTAACAAAAAATATTTGTATAATTTTAATTGAAAAGCTTTTTTGTTGTAGTTCTTTTTTCCTAAAATTAGTAAATTGTTATAAAGAATCAAAGCATTAAAGCTCAATGGATACTTTTTTTATGGCAAATTCAGGATAAATTTATTTTAACCTGTTTTTGCCAATACTGTTCAATTTGTTTAAATTTGGCAGTTTTAAAATGATTTTGATAATTATTTTTTTTTTTTTTTTTTTTTTTAATTGATGTACTACTGAAAAAATTTATTTCTTTTGAATTATATTTATTTTATATTCAAGACTATATAGCAACATTTATAATGATTTTTTTGACTAGAAAGCCTAATTTATCCTTTTTTCAAATTGGCTTCTGGTACATGAGACTTAAAATCTACAAGATCTTCTGATTCATGACCGCATTTTTCCTCAATACTGGCTGGATGTTAATGCTCCAAAAAATAAATTGAAATTTGTAAACTAAAAATATATATCAATCAAAAACACATAGGGCTGTTTTTTTTTATTTTTTTTTTTTTATTGCACACAAAAAAAAATTAAAAATAAATCCAGAATTTATACCCAATGGCACCTAAATCATCTAAAAAAAAACAATAAAATTAATATATTAAATCTGAAAAAAAAAGAAAAGACCTAAAACCCAAAAAAAGGACATATTAAAAATATATATATTTATATAACATGCCTGGATTCACAGTGCTTGTTATGAACACAATTTGTACCATCTCCAAAAAGACACTAGTGCAGTGATGGCCCTTTAGTAAAATTAAGTTATGACTCACCATTTTTATATATATTTATAAAATTTATAAATGATTTACATAATTACAACTTGTCTCCTATATTTATGATATAATATTTAATGTATTTGATATTTACCATTTTTCTATATTTGACAATTAATATAATTTTTATATTCTTAAATATTTATTGTTTTTTTCTTCTGCCACCATATTCTTTTAAACATCATTTTTGATGAATAATTGGAATTTCCTTTTTAAAAAAAAAATATTTAGATACTATTCTGAGTATGAATTGGCAGATTTCATTTATTCATGCCCTTAAATCATTAATATTAAAATTTTTAATGTTTTTTTTTATGTTTTCTTTGGGTATCTTTTTAATAATATCCATCACATTAATCTTTCATACATTTTGGTGATGAGGATAACAAGATCTATTTTCATTTTTTTAATTTAGTTTATTTTAAAAAAAAAAAAAATCATTCTTTAACATTCCATAAACTTTATCAACAAATTCCAAATGATTTATCTAGTTACTATAAAATGAGTTATAAATGTGTATATTCAATTTTAGTTTATTCAAAATTTTAATGAAGTCCTTATGGAATTAATTTTTTGCAAAAATAATGTTTAATAATTAGAAATTTAAATTTCAAAATGATATATAAATAGAGGCATTACAACAGTGTTTGATGATTATGCCTCATCACAAAATAAGTTTTGATACTGTTTTATTTTCTTTGGTAATAATGAGATTAGAATAATCTCTGGCAAAATTTAACGTTATTTTATATATTTAGAAATCAAAAATGGTTTTGTAATCTATTATCAAAAGATGGAACCTAAAATAGATTTGTTCTATGTTCAGTGGATATACAGAAAAACAAATCAAATTTTAATAAAATTTTTTCAATCACTGTTTCTTTATAATTGTAAATATTGTAATTTATTTTTACCTTTTATCTGAGTTTAATATTGAAGAAATTTTTACAAATAATAAGCTAATACATATCACAATTGAATTGTAAATTTTGAATATTGAGAAGAATATTTCTTTCTGTAAATCCTGCAAATTCATTTTTAGTATCTTTTCTTATATAGATATTGTACATAAAATTAAAAAAAAATGGGGAAAAGTAATGCTTATTTTTTAATGTACAGTAAATAAAACATAAAATAAATGTCTATAAAATCCGTTTCAAATTCAGTTTAATTTTGTTTATGGGGTTTATATATGATTTTATTTATATAAAAATGTTTTTCAAAAAATTTTTAATGTACAAAAAATTTCTGGCAAAATCCTTTAAATATAATTATTAAAATATTTTATTTAAATAATTCCAGATTTAAAAATTTATGAATGGATGTATTATCATTTTGTGATTTTTTGGAAAAAACAAAAACACTTTTAACCGGAAATAACTATGCCAAATTGGAAGATATTTTATGTGATATCTATCCATGCTTTAGGCACAAGAAATGGAATCATTACTAGTTAAATTATCAGAATGTTAAACTCAAGTTTGTTTATTATCCTAAAATGTTTGGAAAATCTATTCTGTCTCAAAATGCAAGAACATGAAATGCACCATTGCTTCATTAAATTTTGTGTGGTAATTAATTTGGTAGTTTTTGTGAATTATGACTTATTTAAATTTTGGCTTATTTATATCCTTTATATATACATAATTAAATACTCATAAAATTTGAATTAAATTCTATTTTTTTCATCACACTGTATATATATATATATATTATATATACTAGCAGTAGAGCCCGGCGTTGCCCGGGGATATAACAGTAAGAGATAGATCAAGTATCCACCATCATAAAGACTGAAAAATAAAATTGACAAAGATTATTGTTTAAGGTTGACGGACACGCATGTCTTAATTAGTTTTTTTTTTTTTTTTTTATAAATTGGTCAAACTCAAACTCAAACAAAAACATTGTTTTCAATCGTTATGAGTCTCCCGATTGAATAGAATTTTTTTATAAACAATTGTCTTGTAAATGGAATTTTAAAAGCATTCTGAATGTAAAAATAAAAAAAAAAAACGTGCAAGACAATAAGAAACACTACATGCCAAAAAAAAAAAAAAAAATCAAGTTTTGTTGAAATCGGTTGAAAAATGTAGGTAGCCTTTCTGTAATCTTTTAGTTTTACAATTTATGATTTTTACTTATTGAATACAGTAAAAAAAATTGCATATTTTGCTTGTGGTGATTCATAATTAGAATTCTGATTTGAATATATTTTCCACTCGTTGTTTCTAATACAAAAAAAATATTAACTTTATTTGGGTTTATTAATTATGATCTAACAAATCTTATTCATTTAGTAGCCTTTCTGTAATAATAATCTTTTACAATTTATGATTTTTACTTATTGAATACAGTAAAAAATTGGACACCATGTGTATTTAAAGTAGTTTCCGTTCCGGTTATTATTTTTAGTTAGGACTTGTGTATGTTTAGATTTCATTATCTTTCCCTAAAGATAAAGAATTTATTCCGATGTTTGTATTCATACAATCAGTAGAGATCGTTAGATTATTGTTTAAGGTTGATGGACATGCATGTCTTAATTAGTTTTTTTTTTTTTTTTTTTTTTTTTTACGAATTGGTCAAACCCAAACTCAAACAAAAACATTGTTTTCAATCGTTATGAGTCTCCCAATTGAATAGAATTTTATAAAATAATTGTCTTGTAAATGGAATTTTTAAAGCATTCTGAATGTTAAAATAAAGAAAAAAAAAGTGTGCAAGAGAATAAGAAACACTACCTGCCTGCCAAAAAAAAAAAAAAAAAAAAAAGTTTTGTTTTATCGGCTGAAAAATATAGGAAATCCGATGTGAGTTGTCCCCTTCCATTTTCACAATGTCTCTTAATTGTGTTTTCAAATTGATTTTGTGCAAAAACAATTATATTTTTCCCATTTTGGTGCTGTTAGAACCACCACAAGGTAATTTTATGTAGTCCTGTGAAGTTTTGTTGAAATCGGTTGAAAAATGTAGAAAATCCGATGCAATATATAAACGTTACAGACACACACACACACACACACACACACACACAAACACACAATCTACCCATTTTAATAAGATGCTTTGGCTGTTTTATGAAGCCTTCTTCAGGTGGGGTGAAATAGACCGATATTGAATTAAATCAGTTGATAGTTTTCAATGATAGGAATTGTGGGAGATAGGGTCTGCAAGCAGTCATGATTTTTGCATGTATTCCATTCATTTGTGCTTATTAAGTACAACTTTTTAAAAAGCAAAATTTCCGCATAATTTCTCAAATGTGCCACAACACTATTTACCTCTGCCAAAAAATACAAATATTCCCACTTTTCTTAAAGTTCAATTCTTAACAGCAATTTTCTTTTTCATTGCTGCCATTTTTCATTTCTTTTGTTACAATTATGCAATTGACCAAAAATGTCTTAAAATTTCAGTTTCTCTCAAGTCTCTAACATAATTTTCTGTTTGTGTCAGTTGTCTTTTGACTCCTGTAGCCCCTCCACTCAATATGTGATAAGATCTGTCCCTCCACTTGTTATAAGATCTGTCCCTCCACTTGTTATAAGATCTGTCCCTCCACTTGTTATAAGATCTGTCCCTCCACTTGTTATAAGATCTGTCCCTCCACTTGTTATAAGATCTGTCCCTCCACTTGTTATATAAAAAAAAAAAAAAAAATTTGTCCCTCCAAAAAATCTGAAATTTCTGTCCTCCACTTGTTATATAAAAAAAAAAAAAAAAATTTGTCTATGTGCTGAAATGTCACAAAAGAAAAAAAATTTTGTCTTTCTCCTACTGTCATAGCGACAGGTACAGTCTCCACTTCTGAGACTGAAACTGCCCTCCTTCTCATTCCAGCCCTTTACATAGAGCTTGGTAACTTGCCCATGCAAAACACCAACAAGCCAGCTACCAATCACGGTTTCCATGCCTGCCCACCTCCACTTGCTTTGGGGGTGTCAAGTTGACCAAATAACTCATTACACGCCCCCCCCGATCTTAAGATCACAAAGCTCCTCAGCTTGAGAGATGGTCGTGTCTGTCTAGTGACTGCATCTGCATATACACTTGCATGCTTGACACATTGGGATAACCACACATGCACGAACTCGCTTTCTCCAAGGTGGCAGATTTCCAGATTCATCTCGTGTCTCGCTGCCATGATCACACACAGTGCAACTTTGGACAGGCTTCTTCTGCCGAGCACTCCTTCTGAGCGGGATGACAGGGTCCTCATCCTAATGAAACAGAAGTCACGCGGTGCTTTATGGCTGCTGCTGCCACTCTGAGCCAACTGCATATGGGAAAATGGTCTACCAGTTTTCCCACACATGGAGAAGGTACTTCGACGAGTGATCACTGGCGGGACTTCCAGGACGTCACTGCTTCACCTCCAGCAAAGTTTTTCTCCATCACTACTGATGTGTAGTCCGAGTACATTCGCTTCATCCTGCAGCGGCTCTGGGGCCTTGCACACCAAGCCAAAGCATTCTAGATGTTCCTTAATCCTCGTTGAAGAGGCCATGTTTTCAATGATGTAGACATCATCAATGTAGGATGACGTTGCCCTTCGAATTTCCTCATCCTGTGACATGACCACATTCATAATCGTTGACATGAATTTTGGGGCCACATTAAGACCAAATCCCTGTAGTCCATGGCTGGTCTCACTTTCCCCTTATTCTCTTGCACTATTGCCATCAACGGAATCGGTCCCTTGAGGTGGCCCTAGCTCCTCCTTGGGTTACGGTGCAAGCCAACTGTTTTCTATCCAAAGCTGCAATTCATTTTCGTATTCGCTCCTGATATGCTCTGGAACTGGGTACTCTGCTATTTTATTTTTCAGTGGCGCTGGCGTTTGGACACCCACCCGCCCGCTTCCATGATGCAATCCATATGCGCATGCGCTGGTCGAAAGTTGCACTGAAGTCAGGTTTGTTTATTGCAATGGAGGCTCTGGGGGGCACGTTCTCAGTGGCAAAATTCACCTCACCTGAGCCGCTTATATGGACTCCTCCCAGTTTCGCAATCACGTCGACTCCTAGCAGGAGGTCAAGCCCTGGCAAGGTTTGGTGTACAATCAATACCTCCACGGTTACTGGACGTATGTTCTTGATTTTCAACTCCATTGTTTCGACACCTAGGCTGGTAAGGGTTTTTCCATCAGCAGTTACAATCTGTGCCTCTTTAGCTCTCCACGAGCGATATGCCGACTTACATCTCCGTCCATCAACGAGCAGTTTAATCACAGGTAGCGCCTCAATGTTGTACTTGCCGGGAGAGGAGACCGGTGCTGGCGTCTTTTTCCCTGACTCGTTTTCCCGGGCACTCTGATGCAAAGTGACCCATCCTTTGGCATCTGAAGGCACCATAACCTTCGGCGCAATCGTTGTACCTGGTTGTCCGTCCTCGTTGCACGTCCCTGGGTGCAGCCATTATTCAGGTCGTTGGGGTTGGTGCAAGGGACAACACACAGTTTCTCCTGTTCTGGTCACCAATTACTTTCACGGCATCTGCACGTGGCTGCTGGGCCGCTGCGATAATTTTGTTTACAGGTCTATGGTCCTCAACCAGGATGGCTCGACCTCTCGCACAGAGCTGGTCTAATGTCAGTGTCCATTCGTGCCGATGCCCGAAGCTGCTGCCTGACATGCTGTTGCAAACCCCGCAACAAATGCGCAGGCTATCCATCTTTCGGGTGGTCTTTCTCCAACCTGGCAAGCCAGTCTTTCGAGTGCCAGGAATTCATCGACTGTCTCTCCAGCACAAAGTCGCCATGTCACAAACTGTTCAAATGCTACGAATGCATCTATGGCAAACGCAGTGGTGAGTGTGCTTGATTTCTTAGATATCAGCTCTCTGCTTTTTGCTGAGTTGCCGATACACAGCGAGACCCCCACCTGTCAACAGCAATGGGAGAATGCGCTCGACCCTTTCTTCAGCTGCCAGCTCACAGATCATCCTGGATTCAGATAAAGCGTGTCAACATCTGAGGTTTGTCGAAATAGCCTGTGTTGAAATGTGTCACAAAAGGAAAAAAAGAAAAAAAAAAAATTTTGTCTCTCTCCTATTGTCATAGCGACTTCTGAAACGAACTGACCTCCTTCTCATTCCAGCCCTTTACATAGAGCTTGGTAACTCACCCATGCAAAACACCAACAAGCCAGCTACCAATCAGTTTCTGCGCCTGCCCACCTCCACTCACTTTGGGGGTGTCAAATTGACCGACCAACTCATTACAGTCTACAATCCCCACACCAATATGAGTAGCCAAATTTATCTGTTTTTCACTCTTTTTTTTTTTTTTTCTTTTTCTTTTAATATAAATTTTCATACGTATTTCCATTTTTCTGTAATATGAGTTATCAAATTTATTTCTTGTTGTATAATTAAAAAAAGTGAATGAAAAATTGTCACAAGGTACATTTATACTCCCTTGTCATGAAGAATACATGTTGTTGATTAGGTCAAGATTTTTTTCTCCCTTCCCTCTAGAGGAACTAAAAGAGACCTGCTGACCTTAAAATTGACTGAATGTCTGTTTGCAATTGGTGGATAGTTCAAGTGCAATATTGCTACTGCAAAAGTATGGAAGGGTTGAGGAATAAATTAAAGTTATGAAAATGAGAGGAAAAAAAATTGGTCCACAAAATAGTTTCCCATGGGCCACAGAAAGATAGTCTGCAGGCCAAGCATTTGAAACCCCTGATATAGACCCAGAAGACACACACAAATATTAGAAACCTCATCCTGTACTGTATATGCTGAGAATAAAAATTGAACAAGAACTTATAACTACAGGTAGAAGAAACAATTTCATCAGTGGAATTTTCAGAATGGCCCATTGTAACTATCCTTAAACAAGATAAAACTGTTCAAATTTGTGGAAATTACAAATTAACTATCAATCCTTTGACCAAACTGGATAATTACTGTTACATTCTTCCTAAAACCAGATCTGACTCATGCTACACTAATTCCCACCACTGGCCAGATGTGAATGCTCTTGAACACCCCAAAAAACTGAACTAAAATTCTGTCAACTGTGCAAGGTCACACATATGTCTTCCATTTTTTACTTGCTTATTTTTTCTTTGGGTGTGCAATACAATCCAGAATTTCCACCCAATAGCACCCTCTCCCATCTAAAGTAACAATAAAAACTGGAGCTAATTGGAGCCTTAAAAAAAAAAAAAAAGAAGCCCATCAAAGAGACATTCAGCAGTTGATAGCATGTTAATCTTGGTTTGCAGATCTCCAAGAAGCATAACTTAGCAGCTGGCCAAACATTGTCAACCCAGTAAGTCTTGACTCATCCTCCCTCTCCTTCTGTATGCCTCACCGGATGCCTTTTACAACACCACTTATCTCTTTTCAATGAGAGATAACCTACACTGATTTATCATTTGTTGCATTTTACGTTAATACAATTTTGGTTGTTTCTTTGTTCTACAACCATGTGCTTATCATAACAACTGGTGTCAGAAGTATGTGGTCGGAAAAGGATGGACTACAATTTCATGACAATATGATATTCTAATATGTGGAGGATTTGCAACAGACTACATCCGTGTAGAGTTGAGGGCCTGCCTGCTAAGAACCGACAAAAGTCAAATGATGAACTTCCAGTACCTCAGCTGAACGTAGGACCTGTGATGGTAGAGAGATGGTCAATTTTGCAGGCAAGTTTAAGACCACAATTAGAGAAGCAGCAGTTCATATAAAGGCAAAGTTTTGGGTGGACAAAAATTCTGAAGTGAGTGCCAACACTGTTTCATGTTTTTTTTTTTTTTTTTCCATGTGTGCGATGCTTACGAGTGAAAAAATTAAGGCATGTGCTCCAAACATATACCCCAATCTTGTAAAGACAATGGACAGCCACTACTTCGCAAGTGGTATAGCAAGCAGTGTGCAATGCTACCTTGACTGCAACATCAAAACAGACCAATTTGACTGTAGGCATAATATATATGCAAAAACAGCGACCATATACACAAGCAAATCATGGTGTTAACCAGGATCTTGCCAACCTGAAAAAGAACAAATACACTGATGGATGAATCACCCAGTAATGTATGGCTAGAATACCTCTACAAGATTGGAGCACAAGGACATAATCCCTGAGATGGGATCAAAAATGCATACCCACAAACAACTCCAATAACAGTCAACCCTGCTGTCTGCAAAAACTACAAGAAGGGCCTCGCATGTTTCAGGGCCAAAATTTCTCTTACTTACCACCTTGTTCTCAAGCACATGTTGCGACCATATCTGCAAATGTACAACGGCCATAGAAGAAGTTGAAGTAATACCCATAAACCAACTTCATGAAATAATTTTCAGTTGTGTCCGGACAAGATGTGATGACTCAATCCCCAGTCCAAGATCTTAACAAATATTGTCATCTCTTCAACTTTCAGCATCCGCATTCGTGCCTATCTCCTTTCATAAAAATAGACATCACTATCGGTGACTTAACTTTTTCTAAGATAGGCATGCTAGACTCAGGGTGCACCACTTGCATCATACCTATCTCCTGCCTACCCGAGCAAGCAAGGCAACACATGCAAATGTTAAACACACATAAATTCGCAGCGATGTTTCTGTCATTGGTGAAATAATCTGTGATATCACCATGGGTGACACCAGCTCACCCACATTTCAGAGCATGAATATACTGGTCACTAATGCCACTATACCAATCAAATATCCAGTCTTTAGAGCAAAAATTGGACTGGCTTAGGAATAGCATAGACATAGTCCTCCCTCCTCACACCAACTGTGATAAACTAGAAGTCACAGCAATCCTCCTCATCAACTATGCCAATATCATCAGTAGTGAGGACAATCTGGGCACATTCATTAAGCCAGTGCTCACACCTACTAATGGCCATTCCTGCAGCCAAAAGCAACACCCAATCATGTAGGCACTAGAAGCTAATGTCAACATTGAAATTGGCCACTGTAGGGATCATCAAACCTTGTGCCAACCTGAAAGGCTTCAACAGTTTTGTCTTTGTCGTCTGAAAGAAAAAAAATGGATGAATCTGTGTAGTTGTCAATATCAAAAAAAACATTTCAACAAGGTACTCAGATTTAGACCTGTATCTGATGCCAACAATCGATTCTGTTTTCAACACAATCAACAAGGGAAACAAATACTTTTCATCTCTTGATCTCTGTGATGGATATTGGCAAATTGCCATTGATGAACAGGACTGCTACGAAACTGCATTCACCTGGAAGGGGTCAATGTTACCAATACACCTGTCTAACATCTGCTGGTCAGATCTTTTCTCGATGCATAGCTATGCATTGACTACCACCACTTCAGGGGAGAATATCTTGACCCAGGTTCCCAGACTTTGTCAGAAAGAAACTTCCCATCTCCAAGGAACATCACTTGGCTGTTTGCCAAAGACCGTCATCTGAGTAAGTCCCAACTCATCCTCCCTCTCCTTTGGTATGCCTCGCTGGATACCTTTTTACAACTCTATTTATCTCTCTCTCTCTCTCTCTCTCTCTTTTTTTTTTTTTTTTTTTTTTTCCACAAGAGACATCTATACTGATTTAACATTTTTGTATTTTACTTTAATACAATTGTTTATTTCCTTAAATTTTTCATTTTTTTTCTTCTTTGTTCTGCGACCATATGCTTATCACATCTGCCTTGAACAGGTAGTTACCAATTCATCAAAATGAACCACATGGTACTCAAAATGCAAACGCGATCATAGTGAAACTAGTGCGATTCATTGCACTCACATACTTATTTATACAAACTTGCCACCTCCTCAACACTCTCCAAGTGATGCTAGACTCTGCACTTCATCTTTTATCTGCCTTGAATATATACCAAGGCAGAAGATCTATGCAACTTTAGGAGGAAGTGAATTTTATGCTTCGATCTCAGTCAAGCCTATCAACAGTTACAGGAATCTCAAAAGTTACTGCAATCAACACTTGTAAAGGAATATTTGTGTAATCATTTATGTTATTGTTTAAAATCTGCAAAAGACAGTGGAAAAAATTTTCAGGACATTCCAAATGTCATTGTCAGGATTGATGACATTCTCTTAACAGAGTAACCAGGAAGACTCGCTTACAAATTTATGAAAAGGTATCTCAGGAAATGAGGAAGTAGAATTATAATGAAGCTCTTAATTGACTCCTCCTGTACTGTTTCCCTTCAGAACATGGATGATCATGGCTCCTCATAACTAACTTATCCTTTATAGACTGTAGCAATATTTGTCCTCTTGCCAAACTTCCTGCCTCTGTTCTGCTATTCATTCACACGAGCTAGTCAGGTAAGTGGACCAATACCTTTCCCT